TATATAGATCCCTAAGTTGTATATTGAATGTAAATGGATTATATTTTATTGCCAAGTGGTACTGCTATGTGAACAGATGCTCTGACCATTTTGTGATATCAATAATCATTAAACTGCTTTGAAATCATATAGTTTGAATTGCTTAGATTAGGCTATACTTGAACTCTTAGATTTTTTTCCCATCTCCTCATTGACTACTGAATATGACTGTAGACATCGGGTTTACATATTGGTCTCTAAAATGTTGTCTGTTAGCCTAAATTTTTGTTTTGTTTTGTTTTCATAGTTTCTGGTGTTTCGGTTTCATCTACCTCACACTGGCCTTGAGGAAGTTTTGAACTGGATCCTCCTGCCTCAGCTTCCCAAGTGCTTAGATTATAGGAATGTGCCACAATGCCTAGACTTTTTGAAAAACCAAAACCAAAACACTAGCCAGGGATGGTAGTATAAGCCTGTGGTCCCAACACCCAGAAAGCCCAAACAGAGCCAAATGAACTAAGAAGGAAAGGAAAGGCCACAGCACAGGGTCAAGAAGATAATGATCGTGCTAACTGGTGGATTCTGGGCAGTCTAGAAGGAATTGTTAGAGATCCTATCCTCACACCCCATTCTCCAAATAAAGAAGTCACCTGATCTGTCCCAAAGAGAAACTGGGTATCTCAGTATCTGGACATTGTGGTGTAAGGTCCAGGCCCTGGGCCTGCCCACCTGGGTATCTCCAGCTCCTTTTCTAAATCAGCAGAAGCGATCCCAGAGCCTTGAGGGGAGGGGTCTGATGAAGACATCTTATTTAGGACGGAGTGCTCTAAAGTCTCTTAACTCTCTGCACATTGTTCAGTTGTGGGTCTCTGTTAATTTCCATCTACTACATGAAGAAGTTTCTCTGATGATGAGTAAGCAAGGCGCTGATCTATGGGTGTAGCAAGGCTATCACCTCTAAGTAGGAAGAGACACAGCACCTCCATCATAACACGCTCAACACATGACACATGGGTTCCCCTCAAGGTTAGTGGCTGGGAATCCCAATGGGAACTCAAATTCTGTTTACTTTTTGTCTCTCCCTCAAGTTATCACAGGACTGGTAGATGGCCTGAGCTAATCTCAGGAAAAAACAAAACAAAAAACTGGGACAAGGTCTGAGGTGACTTCATCTACAGAGAAACAAACTAACCTGGTCTAGAAAGAGGATACTGTTAAAGTGGCCCAGAACCTGAGCTAGGCCATTGATGTAGGAGAAAACAGACCTATTCTGCTGCAGGAACATAGCAATAAAATGACTCCTAGTGACACTGCTACACCCACAGACCAGCGCCTTGCTTACTCATCATCAGAGAAGCTTCTTCCTGCAGTAGTATGTGTATCTGAGCGTCTACAATAACACAAAAATACACCTTGCTATAACAGGGTACAAAAGGAAAAAAAGGGGGAAGGGATTGAAATCAGTGTAGTTTACTAACAGTACCAGACTCTCAAATATAGTGAGACAAAAATAATTGCTATGAACTGAAATAAAACAGTATAAACAATTCCTAAAGCAGTTCGCCAAGGTTGGCATGATTTCTCAAACACATAATATGGAAATTTCAATTTTAGAGAAAAGTTACTGAGAATTAAAATTCATTAGTTATGCTTGTGTTTTGTCTGCTTGTATGTATATATACCACATGCATGGAAGTCAGAAGAGGTCATCAGCTCTCCTGGAATTGGATTCTTGGGTGGTTGTGAGCTGCCATGTGGATACGGAAACTGGACCCATGTCTTCTGCAAGAGCAGCCAGTGCTCTAAAACACTGAGCCCTCTCTCCAGCCCTGCCAAGGAGAATTTGAACTGTTAACATATCTGTCTGAGGCAAGTCAACTCGGGTGCACTGACTTGTGCCAAGGTCTTCTTAAAGCATGGGCTTTCCATTTTCTGAAGCTGCTCAGCACAGGAATGGCAGGGATGAGTTTTAAATTGGTTCCAATCAGCATATGTGAGATGCATTCACATGTCCACATTGCACCTGGGGCATGGGAAAGCAGAAGACCACCAGACAGTAGAGCTCAAATGGCTGCAAGCAGTGGTAGCATCAAGAAAAGATGCCAAGCTGGGAACAAGGTTTCATTTGCACATGCCAGGCTGAGAAGCTCACTATTCTAGACCCAATAGGTTTTTGCCCATGTTGAGGGAAGGATTTTGAGGGAGATAAAAGTCATCATAGATACATAGTTTTTCAACTTCACTTTCATTTTAGATATACTCTATGACTATCATTTTATCAAAATTGTTTTTCATTTTGTTGTTGCCATTGTCCCTTTTTTTTGTTTTGTTTTGTTTTTCGAGACAGGATTTCTCTGTGGCTTTGGAGGCTGACCTGGAACTAGCTCTTGTAGACCAGGCTGGTCTCGAACTCACAGAGATCCACCTGCCTCTGCCTCCCGAGTGCTGGGATTAAAGGCGTGCACCACCACCACCTGGCTGCCGTTGTCCTTTGGTAGACTCTGGTATGTAATATTAACTTGCTTCAAAGAAATGAAGCTTAATAGAGGTCTGTTAGAGTCCATATGCTTCTCGTAGGCTAATCTGTGAAATCAGTAGATTTTTGAACCAAGTTACAAATGTTTTTATTTTGTTACTAAGATAATATAAAACATATTTTTCCCCTAAGTCTTTTGAAAGAACAAGGAACCCTGCTGGATTTGGTTCAAGCAGTGTCCTTTGTTCATTTACCCAGTTTGGGCTTTGGTCCTTCTAAAAACTCCCTTTTCAATGTAGTCCATGTTATTAACTGCTTGAGAACCAAGAGCCTGAGATCCCTCTCCATTTGTTTCATAGCCCATGCCTCCTGATGTGTGAACTAAAGCATCAGTGTGTTGACTGATAAATCCAGCCTGAGCAACAGAACGGCCCCTTTGAGCACCAGACAACTGAGTCACTCTTTGGTCCTAAGAATATCACACTAAGCTGTGGTGATATACTGTTTATGATTTAATAAAGTTTGCCTGGGGAGCAGAATGCAAAGCCAGCCACACTTGACAGCTGTAGAAGCTGGGCAGTGGTGGCACACACCTTTAATCCTAGGACTCAGGAGACAGAGGCAGATGGTTCTCTGTGAGTTTGATCAAGGCCATCCAGGGCTACATGAGAGTCAGTTTAAAAGAGAAACAGAGCTCATGCCTTTAATCCCAGCACTAGAGAGGTAAATAAGGAAGAAGCAAAGGTCTCATGTGAAATTTAGTTTCCAGTCACAGGGAAGCCAGGATCTCCATTTCAGCCTTGGTAGAGGTAAGAGCTACTGGCTGGCTGCTTTGCTTTTCTGATCTTCAGCTTGAACCCCAATATCTGTCTCTGGGTTTCTATTATTCGTGCTACACTAGGAGGCATCTGGCTGAAGAAACTAGATGAATACTCATGTCCTTTAACAATGGGAATCACATTTGGATATTGAGTATGAAGGGGTCTATGTTGTCCTCTCCCAGTGTCAAATCAATGACACTTGAACACTGTTCAGATGACGACACAGATGCACTGTGAGACAAGATGAGAACACAACTTCAAAGCACTTGACCTCCAAGTTACATATCCTTTCCTCTAGTCTCTTCAAAGGCCTTGAGCAAGCATGAGAGGTAATGGTATAAATGTACCCAATGAAGCCTCAGGAGGCTAAAACAGGATTATCTGAATTGGAGACCAGCTTAGGATATATTGTACCAGGCCAGGGCTACATGGCACTACCCTGGCTCAAAAACACAAGAACAAAACAAAAAGTACCTGATAGCAAGTATCTGGAGAATTTAGCAGGCTTATTTCATATGTCTGTGTAGTCTTCTTGTATGTTCACATGTGTGGGTGCATATGGGTGAACATGTTCATGTGGAGGCTGATACTGAGTCTTCCTAATTTCTTTCCACCTTATTCATGGAGGTAAGGTCTCTCAGTTGAGTTCAAAACATGCTGATAAAGCTGTAACCAGTTTGCTCTGGGCAGCCCCTTTACCTTTCTGGGATTATATACTTGGGGGCTGGCGTGTCTACTCTGTCCACTTCGATCCCCAAGTGTGTAAGGCAAGTGCTCTGCTAAGCTATCTTCCCAACTACCTACCATATTACTAGCTTGGGATAAGCAAGTTTGCCTGGAATTACCGTAAACACTGTAATCGAGATCATAAAAAATTAAATGAAAACGTAACCCCATCAATTTCAAGAGTGATTTCACAGCTAGACCAGTACTGGCTATTTTCTCCAAATGAAAAACATAACTTTGAACTTGACTCAGTATCTTTCAAATAAGTTACAAACACTTAAATTTTCCCTTTACCAGAAGGGAGTAGAAACACTGGTTTGTCTTTCCTAAAAATTAGTGATGAAGCAAAGAGCTATTGACTTGCTGCCTGTCTTGCTTTATTCTTAAGCTGTTCAGGAAGAAAAGGAAGCCCATCACACAAGGATCACATGTGCTGAGTGCACGAACTGTAGTGAATTATTAATAATACACTTTCCTTAAATTCTGAAGGTACATCATATCTTTCTCAAAATACAAACTAGTAATTGAGTATCTTTTTAAAAATGTACTTATTTTTGAGATGGTCTCACTATAAAGCTCTGGCTGTTCTGGAACTCACTCTGTAGACCAGGCTGGTCTCAAACTCAGAGATCTTCCTGCTTTCGCCTCCTGATTAAAGGTGTACCCCACTATGCTGGGTTCATACTTTTATTTATGAATGTGTGCATGCACATGTGTTCAAGTTCAGAAGAAGGCATCAAATCCCTTGAAACTAGAGTTATAGGTTGTGATATGTGTGCTGGGAATCAAACTTGGATCCTTTGGAAGGGCAGCAAGCTGTCTGAACCACTGAGCCACCTCTCCATCCCTTGGGGTATCTTTTTAGGTAAAACTATCATTATCTTTTCATGAAAGCAAGTGATCATGACCCTTCCATTATTATCTTCTGAAAACCCAGTTTGTAAAAACTTAGGGCAACAAAGTCACATGATGAGTATGTACAAAATTCACACCAAAGGTAGACTTCTAGTTTCTCTTTAATCACCAACTTTGTGTTAACAAACACCCTTAGGAATCCAAGAGACTAGTGGTTTGTTGGGACAGTTCTTGCACACAAAGGACAATTTACATGCTCCATTTTTTCTGTCACCATTAAGAGACATTGCCACAGAAACAAAAACTTAAAGCCATAGATCGCTGCACTTATATTTACAAAAAGCCATGAGCAGACATGCATTTCTCCTTCAGCTGGAGAACTTAAATAGATGCTTGAACATTAAGGCAGTGACGATTCCAAAACATAGCAAGAGAAAATCTAAGTTAAGGCTTTATGTCTGCTCTGAAACTCACATTCACAGGCAACTGTGACCAAAACCACTGTTTAGCTACTGGGGTGAACTCATCTGCTGGGTGTGTTATTAGCCCATTTCCGAGTCCTTTGCACCAGATGAATGGGACACAACAGCAGCAATACCACCAGTTTACCTGATGAATCATCAGTCCTTTAGGTTTTATTTTAAGAGTTCACGTTTGGCAGCACAAGCATATACCACAGAAAGAACAGGGCTTCCCAGGGTAGACTGGATGGTTCCCCAGGCTGTGCTCATTCGGCTTTGTCTGAGAGTTGGGCAATAGCTATGAATCCATGATCTGCTTAGCGCAGAGTCCCCGAGGCATGTTTGACCATGTTCTCTCAAAATGCAGAAGCCATTCCCGATTATTGAAGCCAATGTTCTACTGCTTTTACTCCTTAAGAGTGTATCACAACAGAATCTAGACTAGCATACTTTAGATGGATCTAGTCTACAATTGCTAGTCTCAAGGCACACAAATATGCTTGCCAGACCAAAGTGCTTCCTTCAAGTAAAAGCTGGGGTGGATGGAAGGAAAGACTTTGTAGGCCATGTTCCTCCTATCAGATTAGAAGTGCAAAGTACTGAAAGGGGGCTCGGCAGGAATGTCTGTTCTTCACCCTACTTTTCCCTTTTTAATTCCTAGAGGGTCTGTGAGTACATTACAGGAAGCAGTTGGGTAGCCCCAAGGGTCTGCTGTGGAATGGGAAGAATGTTTGTGGGTGTGATGAGATGAAGTATGTATTTGCACACAACACCCCCCAACCCTTAAATATTTAGGAGAAATGTTTTGCTTTTGCATGCTATGAGGCCACTGATAGCTGGTAGCCTCCAGGAAGCATGGGGACAAGTCACAGGAGAGACCAAGGCATTATTAATGATTGAAAGGTGGTGATATTTTCAGCATCATCCCTATCTCCCAACCCAGCGGGGAGGGTGGCACTCAAGGTTAAGTTTATCACTAATGACAATGATTTAAACAACTCTACCCACACAACAAAGCAGCCATTACCCCCAGAAGACTGGGTTTAGAGGGTTTCTACAAGGCTAAATATGTATTCCTGGTGGGTTTTGTGCCTAGAGGGCATGGAAGCTCTGTGCCCCTTTCCCACCCACTCTCTCCTTTGCAATAACTGTATCCCTGAGTTCTGTAAGCCTCTCTAGTAAATTAACTGAGCCCAAGATTGGGGAGTCAGAGGAACCCCAATTATAGTTAGAAGCTCTGGGGTTCTGGGCCCAAATGAAGTGACTATCCTCTAGCCACTGTGTGCTCACAGCTGGCTGCCTGTTGGCATGTGGCAATCCCAAAAATTTGGTCACAGAGATCTTTTTGATCAACAATAGCAAGGGAAAAGCTTTTCCACGACGCAGGACAAGCCTGAGTTGAACCAAACAGCATGATTCCACAGAACTGTCTCCACGGTTTAGATGGCTTACTCTTACTGGAAGGACTGCTACTTACACTAAGTACTTGCTGTTGGGCAGGAACTTCACAGAGAGAAAAGGATGGCCAACAAAGCTGGCAGTAGTCACTGCTCCGGAGAGAAGGGATAGCAGTGACTATGTAAAAACTGTCATAGAAGCTAAAGACAGCTGTGGCTTCCTTTAGTGTTTCCAAGTCAGAAAGGACGTGACAAGGTGAGGGGTGGCAGCACAGCAGTCAGCTGCCACACAAGCATTGTCTAACGTTGGAGATGATGTTTACGTGAAGGTGCCATGTAAGTGCTATACTCAGGTTAAAGCAGTTGCAAAGCTTGGGCCCTACTATCTGGTAAGCTTGGCTTCAGTTAAATGGTTTAAGTATTAGTGTGAAATGTTTTTGTTTTTGTTTTTTTTAAAGATGGAGAGAATAGCTATACAGGAGCAAACGTAGGCAACACTGAAACTTTTTAGATCGACACCTTACACTTTATAATACACTCACATTTGTACACCAATCTTGTGTTCACAAGTACAAAACGTCAAGAACTGCAGAGAACCTAAACAGCTGCCCCACCAACTACATCCCCAGTCGGTGTGGCTGTCCTTGTCCCCATTTTCTAAACATACAAGGAAAGGGGAGCCTGGCTGCAGCTTCAGAAGCTGGAGACAGCGTGCAGCTCCGAGCACGTCTGGGTTTCCACAGAGCTGAACTGGGACTCCATTGTGTTCCAGGCCAAATCAGCTAGAAGGAAGTCACCCATTGCTGTCTGAGTTTCGTTGCTGGTGAAGAACAAGTTCCCCAGGGGCTCAAAGCCAGAGCTCATGGTCTGTGTTTCTGTGCTGTTCAGCTGGACCTTGCTCTCCAGAGCCGGTGTGTGTCGAGATGGGGAGGCGCCTTCAGTTTGGGTCTCTGTGTCAGAAGAGTCAGTGCTCATGGAGAAGCTGGAGTGTTTCAGGATGCTTCCCAGAGGCAGGTGAGGACTACTGTCTAAGAAGAAGTTTAAGTCTGTCTGTGTCTGCGTGTCAAACATCTCCAGGCCTAAAAAGCTTGAACTTCCTCTGAACCCGTAGGACTGTGCGGAGGGGTCTGTGAGGAAGAAGTCAGTCTGGGTCTCAATGTCCAGGGACTCCAAGGCTGGCTCAGTGCTCATGCCGCTGAGTTCACTCTCTTCAGTCTGAGTCTGGATATTTGAGGCTGAAAGGAATTCTTCAATATCGAAATCGATCCCAGAATTCTGGCCTGAGGCTGATGGGAGCTGGGCATCAGGCCCAGGGTTTGCGTCGGACAGAAGACTCCGGTTGTCTAGTGCTTGACCAGGCAGATTGCTTGACAAGATGTTTTCTAAGTCACTCAGTAGATCTATGGTTTGGGTCTGATTATCTGTCATGTTCTGTGAAGGAAGCATGCTGTTCTGGGCACTGAAGTGTAACAAGGGTGCAGGCTTTTCAATGACTTGGCTTAATATCTTATGGTCATTCTGAGGTAACAGACCATGAGTTACTGTCTCTGAAACTAAACTACTACTCATGATGTTGTCCGTGGGAACGCTATATGATGAATGGACACCTTCAAAAATGTCCCCACACAGGCCAGCGTGGCCCACCTGCACAGGGTCATCTGTGGGGTCTCGAATCCTGCTGGTTTGGGTTTCTCTGGAGATCCCACCTGGCTGGAAACAGGCATCTATAAATGCATCCGTCTGAGCAGCTATGGATGAAGTGACCTTTGAGCTGGGCACCAACGTCTGGGTGTGGACACTAACGGGAAGGGACACTTGAGAATCAAACGACAGGTCAGTCTGAGAACACGATGACACAGAAGAATCAGGGCTGAGCCACTGAGCAGAAGGTATCAAGTTGGGGGAGGTGTAGGACAGATCAGTCTGCACGTTGATTGAGGAGATGCTATTCTTCTGACATGTATTTCCTAGTTCTTGTAAAGGACCACAAGGACTTTTCCCCAAGTTCTCTTGAACACCTGTACTGACTGGCTCAACAATAGGACTGATAATCTTCGAAAGAGGTAGGCTCTCCTTCATAGAGCAGGCCTGGGAATCCAGGCTGAGGACCAGGGTTCCTACTGACAAGGGGACTAAGTGCACAGCACCTGCTGCAGAACCTCGATCCACACCTAACACCACAGGCTGGGCTGAGGGGTCGGCTGTAGGCACAAAGACAGGCACAGGGGAAAACTGCATGACTGGAAGTTTAACCAGAGCCACCTTGGGCTTTGGTAAAAGCAACTTCTGGGGGCACCTGGGAGGTGCTGTGATGTTCTGCTTTTTGGCATGAGTGCGGAAAGAGTCTTCAAATGATGCTGCTAGCTTTACTTCTGATGCTTCCAGTTCATGAACGTCTTGGTGAGGAGCTGGTTGGTCACTCAATGGTTCAATGGTTTTGCTGGACAACTTCTGGCTTTGCAGGTAGCTTTCCATTTTTCTTTTTTTACCAGGTGGGTCTCTGAAAACAGTGACAAAGCAAAAATAAAACCAATTTTAAAATGAAACAAAAAAATTTATTAAAATTTTTTTATGTGAACTTGTGATTCTCTGTGATAGTATGTGTAGATGGGCACAGAAGTTGGATATGGGTGTAGGATTCTTTTGGAGCTGGAGTTAGGGGGGATTGTGAGCTGCCTGACGTGTCCTGGGAACCAGAATCAGGTATTCTGTAAGAGCAGAAAACTTTCCTAACCACTGAGCCATCTCTTCAGCCCCTAAAATGTAGCTTTCAGGCTGGAGAGATGGCTCAGAGGTTAAGAGCACTGGCTGCTCTTCCAGAGGTCCTGAGTTCAATTCCTAGCAACTGCATGGTGGCTCACAGCCGTGTATCATGAAACCTGGTGCCCTCTTCTGGCCTGCAGGCATATGTGCAGACAGAACCCTGTATTTCTTTAAAAAAAAAAAAATGTAGCTTTCATTGGTTCTATACCATTATATCTTCATTACTCAATTAATGCCATTTCCCACAGGAAAGGTGGGATCCAGTCAGTGGTGACACATCCCTTCTGGCTGAGAGTTCTGCATGCACTCAGAAATATTCCCACTCCCTCTCTCCAGGCTGGCCTTAATTTTTAGGACCTCTTCTGCCTCCTAAAGGATTACAGGCATATGTTACATGCAATGCACTCCATCTTTAACTTGGAGTTTAAATATTTTTCTATTTTTTTTATTACATTTATTTATTGTGTGTGACCGCATGTGCCATAGTACATGGATTATGTGGAGGCTAGGAATTGGTTCTTTCCTTCAACCATGTGGGTCCTGAGGATCAACTCAGGTCATCAGGCTTGAAGGCAAGAACCTTTACCCACTGAGCCATCCTGCTGTCCTCTTAACTTAGATCTTTAAAATCAGACCAAGAAACTTACAAGCACCTATAGCAGAAAGCCATTACACCAAATATAAATTTGATCTTTAAAAATGAAATTTAAAGCTACATGGGGGTGGGGGGATGGAGGGTGGGCTGAGGCAGAAAATTTAAGACCAGTCTTAGCTACACAGTGAGTTCAGGGTCAGTGTCAAAAAAGAAGTAAAATGAGGATGGGCTGTGACTCAGAGCTGAGCACTTGCCCAGCATTCATGGGGCTCAGAATTCAATCCTCAGCACCAGAGAACGTAAATAAACAGACAAAGGAAACCCTGAGTTACATACAACTTTTAGCACTCAACAATCCATTTCTCTAGAGAGAAGATGCTTAAAGTTGAGATTTTCAAATGGGAATAAGAAGGGATCCTCAGGAACTGTGTGCTGGAGAGCTAGCTCAGCAGTTAAGGAGACTTGCTGCTTTTCCAGAGGACCTGAATTTGGTTTCCAGCACCTGCATTGGGCAGGTCACAACCACTTGTAACTCCAGCTCCAGGGGGTCCAATGCCCTCTTCTAGCCTCTTCAGGAACCTGCATACATGTGCCATTCATACACACTGACATAGACATGTACATGTAAGTAAAAATAAAAATCTTTAGGAGAAAAACATACAAAGCAAGTGGGTCAGCATCTCAGGCTCAGTGCTGGGCACTGGCGTACATATCTGCAAGCCCAGCACCCGGAGGCTGAAGCAGGAGGACCATAGGCCCAGCCTCAAAGACAAAATTAAAGAGATATCCTGGCCCAAGGGGGCTTTTTAGTTATTACTGCTATTATTCCAAAAGAACCCTTTTAAAGCCACAGGTTCTGTTCCCCGTTCCTTTTGTTTCCCTATGTGGCTTGCTCCCCAGGAAGCCCCCTTTCCAACCCTTCACAGCTGCTCAACACAATCTCTTTGTGCTTTACCTGTGTTCTGCAGGGATCTCATGGCCAGTTCGGTAGATGTGAGACTGCAGTGCGGTTCTGCTGGCGTATGGACAGCCACACGTACACTGGAAGGTCTTGCCGCAATCCTCCTCATGTCGTTTCAGGTCCCACTCAGTGCCATAGGAATTACTGCATTTACTGCATTTGTGCTTCTTTTCTGCATGCATTTTCATAAAGTGCTGCAAAAAACACAGTTGAGATTAAGACAAGAGACAGCATCACATTAAGATCCACCCCCACACACCCAACTTCACAGCCATCACCAGGTATAGCATTTCCAAGCTGACAAACTCCAGTTTAACATATGTTTCTCCTTATGCAGAGTGGGAAGGCTGCCTTGGAACCAACAGTGTATTCAGACTCTCAACTACACATTAAGTGCTGTGGGCCAAGGATACACAGTGTGCTGGCCAGGTTTATGTCAACTTGACACAAGCTAGAGTTATCTGAAAGATAACTGGCTTTAGGGCATTTTGTTAATTAGTGATTGATAGGGGAGAGGCCCAGCCCATGGTGGGTGGTGCCATCCCTGGGCTGGTGGTCCTGGATTCTGTAAGATCCAGGAACCAGGCTGAGCAGATCATGATGAGCAAGCCAATAATAAGCATCCCTCCATGGTCTCTGCATCAGCTCCTGTCTCCAGGTTCCTGCCCTGTTTTGAGATTCTGATCTGGTTTCCTTCAGTGGTGGACTACGATGTGGAAGTATAAGCCAAATAAAGTGTTTCCTTCCCAACTTGCTTTTTTGGTTGGTGTTTCATTACATTAATAGTAACCCTGACTAAGACATACAGTCTCTGCAATGTCCTTCTCAGGACCCTCCAGCAGAACTTCAGGAATCATTTCAGTTTTGTTTCTCAAATTTTATTTTTATGTATGTGTGTCTGTGCATGCATATGAACATGAGTAGTGTCTGTGGGGCCAGAAATCAGATTTCTATGGAGTTACACATGGCTTTGAGCCACTTGACATGGGTGCTGGAACCTCTCCAAGAGTTGTATGAGCTTTTAGCCACTGGACCTTCTCTCTAGCCCTCAGGATCAATCTCTGCAGTCTGGAACCTTTCTTTCCCCAGCAGCCAGATCCCTCCCTCCTCACAAGACAGCCTGGTTATGCCTGCTTAGCAGGCAGAGCACAAACTGAGTTTACGTCATCATCTGTATGTCATTGTGCTGGCTTGAATGAGGATAGCTCCACAGCCACACTCAGATATTTGAATGCTTGGTCCCTAGTTGACTGGTGACACTGTTTGGGTAGGTAGGTTTAGGAGGTGTGGTCTTGTTGGAGGAAGTATGGCACTGGGAACAGGCTTTGGGGTTTCAAAGCCACATGCCTCCCTGGTTTGCTCTCTTTGCATCCTGCTTGCAGTGTAAGATGTGAACACTCAGCTTTTGCTCTGGCCACCATGCCTGCCTACTTGCCCCCCCTTCCCTGCCATGATGGACGCTCATCCCCCTGGAACCATAAGCCAAATAAACACTTCCTTCTATAAGGTACCTTAGGGCAGTTTTATTTCTTTATTACATTTTTATTTATTTATTGTGTAAATACAGTGTTCTGCCTGCATGTGTCCTTGCAGGCCAGAACAGGGCACCAGATCTTATGTCAGGAGGTTGTGAGCCACCATGTGGTTGCTGGTAATTGAACTCAGGACCTGTGGAAGAGCAGTCAGTGCTGGCCAGTCACTGAGCAATCTCTCCAGCCCTATTTATTTATTTTTTAAAAAGATTTTATTTTATGTGTATGGGTACTTCATGCGCATTTATGTTTATATATCACTTATGTGCAGTTCCTACAGAGGCCAGAAGAGAGTGTTGGATTTTCCAGTTACAGACACTTGTAAATTGTCATGTGGCTGCTGGAAACAACCTGGAAAAGCAACCAATGCTCTTAACCACTGGGCTGTCTCTCCAGGCTGGCCATGGTGTTTTATTGCAGCATCAGAAAAATAACATGTCCACCTTGAAAAAGGTGTAGTAAGTGACATACCTGTTTAACCAGAGAAAACTGAGAAAATGGTCTGTCAGGGCCTCGAGGACATCCTTTGATTGGACAACAGTAGAATTTCGGGACAGTTTTCAAATCTTTTCTTATTGTTGGATTTACTATGCCATCCTGCAAAAGTAAAATCCAGCAATCATTCATTCATTCAAGACATGGTTTCTCTACGTAGTCTTGTCTAGCCTTAAACTCACTATGTAGACCAACTGTTGAATAATATTTTGATAGCATTCTGACAATAAAGCTTGCTTTGAATCAGAGGGTGGAGCTAGCCACTAGCTGACTAACGTTAGGCATAGAGGTTTTGGGGGACTGAGAACAGATAAGAGACAGGAAATAGTAAGGCAGGGCTTAGAGAGGATCTCAGTCTTTTTGGATAGGAGGTCACTGGTGGCTTTCCCGCCACTTCTCTGGTCATTCAGGTTCTTACCCTGATATCTGACTCCTGATTTTTTATTGATAAAAAATGATTAGATAAATGCATCAGAGATCTGCCTGTCTCTGCCTCTGGAGTGCTGGAATTAAGGGGTGTACCATCACACCTGGCCCAGCAATTGTCTTCCAAACCCATCACAACAGGCTAGTGGTAGAAATTAAGGAAATAGGCATCCATCTGCCCTCCCAACCAGCTTGTCTGCAAGTAGAACCACTCCTCAGCTCCCAGACTTGTCCTTGCTCCTGTTTCTCATCCTTGCCCACAGTCTTAGTTTGAGCCCCTGAGAAAACCTCCTGTGAATAGGACCTGGGCCTCATTGGGAGCACTGTGGCTTTCCATTTTTCAGTCTGTGTGCCTGAGTTCTCACACATGCTGTGCAAGTATATAGAGGTCAGAGGTCAGAATCAGGCATCTTCCTAGATCATTCTCCATTTTATTTTTACTTTTACAGAATATTCACTTAGTATGTGTATGCATATGCCACAGCACACATGTAGAGGTCAGAGAACAACTTGTAAGAGTGTATCATTCTGTCATGTGTGTTAAGGGATTACCCTTAGGTCATCAGGCTTGGCAGCCAGCACCTTGACCTGGTAGGCTGCCTCACTGGCCCTCCATCATATTTTTTGGAGATATGGCCCCTCACTATTATGGCTATTCTTAGTTGTCAACTTGACTACATCTGGAATGAACTATAATCCAGAAATGGAGGGCACATCTGTGAGATCTTTTGCTTGGTTTGAAGTAGGTGATCCACTTCTAGTACAGATCTTTGAGGTGAGAAGACATACGCCTTTAATCCGGGCCAAAACTTCTGCTGGAAGTCTATATAAGAAGCAACCTTTTGCTCTTTGCCTGCTTGCCCTTGCCTTGCTAGCACATCCATTCCTTCACTGGCATTAGAACATAGTTCTTCAGGACTCCAACATATACTGAAGACCACCTGAGACATCCAGCCCTGTGGACTGAGCAACTACTGGTTTCCTGGACTTTCTGTTCACAGCCAGCTGTTGTTGGGTTAGCTGGATTGCAGCCTGTAAGTCATTCCCATAAACCATCCATCGAGAAGAAAGAGAAAGAAAGAAGAGAGAGGAGGGAAGTGGGAGAAGAGAGGAGAGGAAAAAAGAGAAAAGAGAAGAGAAGAGAAGAGAAGAGGCAGAGGGATTCATTCCGTATGCTCTGTTACTCTAGAGAACCCTGACTCACTGAACCTGGAGCTCATCAACTCCACTAGGATCCAGGGATCCTCCTGTCTATCTTCCCAGCATTAATGAAGGCATGGCCTCCAAACTTGGGTCTTCATGCTTGTATCACATGCACTTTATAAACTGAGCCACCTCCAGACCTACATGAAGAACCCACCCCCCCCTTGTTTATTTTATGTATATAGGTGTTTTGTGTGCCTGGTACCCACCATGGCCAGAAGAGGGCACCAGATCCTTTGGGACTGGATTTACAGATGGTTATAAGCTGCCGTGTGGGTTCTGGGAATTGAACTCAGGTCCTTTGGAAAAGCAGCCAGTATTTTTAACCACTGAGCCTCCTCCCCAATTCTGGTAAGTTTTTGCTAAGTGCAACTCATTTTTTTTCCTAACCCAATATTCTACCATCTCCAGCTCCTCCTCCCGAATTTCCCTTTACAAGTCCTCACTAATTAGTCCAGGCTGGCCTTGAACTTGTCCATCTACCTCAGTGTCAGAAGTTTGTGGAATGTTTGTGTCACCATGCCTAGCTTTTGGATTTATTTATTTATTTATCTATTTATCTATCTATCTATTTATTTATTTATTTATTTATTTATTTATTTATTTATTTATTTATTTATATTTTCCAAGACAGGGTTTCTCTGTGGCTTTGGAGGCTGTCCTGGAACTAGCTCTTGTAGACCAGGCTGGTCTCGAACTCACAGAGATCTGCCTGCCTTTGCCTCCCGAGTGCTGGGATTAAAGGCGTTCTCCACCACCGCCCGGTGGAATTATTTATTTTTTATTCGGGGCCAGTGAGATGGCTCCATGGGTAAAGAGACTTGTTACATAACCCTGATGACCTGAGTGCAACTCCTGGAAATATGATAGAGGAAGTGAACCATTTCCTGAAAGTTGTCTTCTGATATCCATATGAGAACAATCTCCTCACTAATAATAATAATTAATTAATTAAATGTATTTTATTTTTAGAGACATGTTTTTTAATACATTGCTCAGGATGGCTCCAAGGCTTAAGTACGCCTCCTGCTTCAGTCTCTGGAGTAGGTGGGTCTATAGTTTCACACACCACCACACCAGGAGTCTCACACTCTACCATTCTACTTTTACTCTCTTCCCCTCTGCTCCTGGCACCCTTGCTCTACTTTGTCCTCAGATGGTGCTCTATTCCCAACCAACCACTCCTTTCTCAGATGGAAATGTGGGAACACTTCATTTAATATTAATATCGAATAAATAATTAAATATTTTAATATTAATATTTAAATATCCCAAGATTTTACAAAAGAAACAAGATGGTGGGGACCAAGGGTGTAGCTCAGTGAAAAGCACCTGCCAGCAGGAGTAAAGCCCCAGGTTCCATCTTCAGCATCACAGAACAAAACCCCCCAAACCAAGATTGGAAAAAAAACTACGCAAATGAAAGGAGGAGGGGCTGGAGAACACTTGCTGCTTTTTGCAGAGTTCTGTTCCCAGCACCCACGTGGCAACTGGCACCTTACAACCACCTGTAACAACCACCTGTGTCTCCCTCCAGCTCCAGGGGACCCAGTGCTGGGTTCTGGCCTCTATAAGCAACCATAGCTTTGCCACAAACACATATACACAAATAAAAATAAAGAGCAGAAAAAGGAGGGGAAGGAGGGACATGGCTGAAGAGGAGAAGAAAGAAGACCATAAAGATGGCAGCAGACAGGCTGGGGAGATGGCTCAGCGGTTGAGAGCACTGGCTGTTCTTCCAGATGACCCAGGTTCAATCCCTAGCACCCACATGACAGCTCACAACTGTAACTCCAGTTCCAGGGGATCCGACACTCATACAGACATATATGCAGGCAAAAACACCAATGCACATGAAATAAAAATAAATAAAAATTTAAAAAAATATTGTGGCAGAAAGTGCCTAGCACCTTACCACCCTTACAGAAAGCACCCAAGGAGTCCAGTTGCTTCTTACCTATTCTAAACTGAAAGTCAGTAATCTTCATACACTATGGTTCACAGAGCAACCTGCCACAGCCTTTCTTTCCTCTCTAAAATAACTTCATAGGAAATCACTGAAAATATACCCCTGGATGGAAGAGAATGCAGAACCCACTAAGCTAGGCTTTCAAATGTGAATGCTGCTCTGTAAGAGTCCACCGGCCCCTTCCCTGCTTTCAAATGAATGCATCTCCAGCAGCCAGGCAGAGCCTGCTTCCTCCCACTCTTCCTCTGGATCATTTTAGCTCTCACTCCAAAACATCATTGCTCCCTTTCTCGGCTGAGCCCACTGCAGGCACAGCTGGCTGATGACATGTCCAGATTTTCTTTCAGGGCGTGAAATACAGACATTTATTTTGAGAAGCCACATAAAGCCAAAGGTGGCTTACAGTTCCTCCATTTTACTTGCCTTCCTTCAGATGTTAGGTATTCAGTTGGGGTTAGATTAGAATAAAATAACCATACAACTAACGGGGGAAAGAATAAAAGATTATCATGGCCAGGAAAACAGAATAACAAGGAAAGAAATTAGAATCACACAAGTAGCTGTAGCCAAGACAATGAAAATTTCCACTGAGTTGAAGTCAGCCAATATGGGGCTGGGGAAATGTCATAGAGTGGTTGAGACTGTGTACTGTTCCTGCAGGGGACCCAAATTCAGTTCCTAGCATCCATGTCAGCTAAAGTGGCTCATAACCACCTGTAACTCTAGCTCCAGGGGAGTCAATGCCCTCTCTGGACTCCAGAGGCACCCATACTTGTGTGCATATATCAACACACAGACACACATAATTTTTAAAACATCTAACTAAAAAAAAAGTCAGCCAATTGGGCAGTCTCAGAGTATTGTTAGAGCAGGGAAGGGATACACACACCTAACTGATCAATCATGCTCCCCAAAACACACAAGGCCTTTGAGGAACAAAGCTACATTTGTCCCAATGCCACACCTTTCTCTTCCCTAATAACACTTTGAGAATAACATGTCAAGAATTGAACTGAAGAGACTCTTGGTAGTGACCAGCCTAAGGGGACACATAGTTGTTACCTGAGGCCTTACCATATAGGTCCCTTCATTAGAAAAAAAAAATGGACCCCCTTTCCATCAGACAACATATGCCCAGGGCCAGGAGGTCCTGAGATTACCAAGGCAGAGGTTACAGGGAAGTGAGCTGTCTGACAGGGAACTAGCAGCCACAGTTCTGAGGGAGTTTACTGCTCAACAGTCCATCTTTCTGCTGCTCAATATCTGGGTTCTGGAAGGGACCAGCCTGTTTATTGCTATCTCCAGATAAAAGAATCTGAAAAATGAATGATGATTATGGAAAGCATGACTTCACACAAGCTCTAGGCCAGAGAGGACACCAGGACTCTGACATTCTCAAACCGGAGTGAAGATCTGACTGTTGACCTCCATATCTGCTAGAGTAGGTCATGTAGTGGTGCATGTTGTAGTTCCAGCACTTAGGAAGCAGACGCAGGAACATACCCAACAAGTTTAAGGCTACCCTGGTCTACCCAGTGAATTCAGTTCAGCCAGGGCTATGCAGTAAACCCTGCCTCAGACCCTAACCAAATGAAACCAAACCTGTATTGGCTAAGACATGTTCCTCCTATCACATGTTATGTCTGGCCTCCTGTGTATTCCTGAGCTTTGGGCTCTTAAAAAACACAAACAGAAGCATCTATTGTACATCATGAAACTAGTTTTCCATGGTCAGTGGCATCTTTGTGCTTCCGAGGCATCCCACAGTTTTGAGGGGTACAGCGCTCCTAACAGCAGCTCCAGAGAAAACAAGTGACTTGCTAAGATATGCTGGCTAGAGTCACACCCGCCCAGACTGAGGAAGCCTGTGGTCAGACTGGTAGCTCTTGGTCAGAAGCATACCACTTGGGGCTGGGGATGTAGCTCAGGAGAGTGTTGCCTAGCATTTATAAGTTCTGTGTTAGTTCCCCATATTGAATAAAACTGGGCATGATGGTGCATGCCAGCAATCTCAGCATTTAAGAGGTAGAGGCAGGAGGATTAAAAGTTCAAGCATATAGTGAGTCTGAGGATAGCTTGGACTACACAAGACATGAACAAACCAAGTAGACAATACTGAAGGCAGGTTATGGTTGCTGAATGCGAGTTACAAGGAACTGAGATTAGGTTGTAGAATTCTTACACACTCACTTTTCACCTAAATTGCGGCGAGAAAAGGGGAGGGTTTCATTAACCTTTAGGATGAAAGAGAAAACTGCAGATCGGAGCCCATGGTGAATTGTACTTTTGTGCTGGAAGGAGGCCCAAACTTTTGCACAGAACTTCCTCAGCATGCCCCTGTTGACATTTCCTGACTGACCTTTCTATGAGATCACTGTCCTCTGAGTGCAGCTGCTAAGTAAAGGCGGGGTCACCGCTCAAGTATACACTTATTAGCCCTACTACAGACTAAAACTCAGAGCTCCTGCTCATCAGTGCTCATGGGAAGTGCCCAAGGTGTCTTTACCTGAAGGTCAGACAGAGTCTGCAATCCCTCAAATCCAACCAGGGTAACATGCAGAAATCTGCTTTTAGAGACTGATGTCTTCCAGTTACAGCACTGCTGGCTGGCATAGAGATCTGATGGTGGAAAGAAGCTTCCTTTTGTAAAAGCTGCGATGCCGTGTCTTTACAGGTCTGATGTGGGGTCCCAACATCTGATTTTTACCAAGCTTCCAGAATATACCATAGGTTTGAAAGTCACTGTCTCCTTTTACGTAACATGGGGAGGTCTTGCTCAGACAACTGTCGTGTTATCTACCGGTGGACCTCCTCCTAAGGATCCACAGAGAAGCCTCCCCTCCCCTCTCATTCCTGTGCAGAGTTGATCTTAACAACCCTAAGAAACTTGTAGCTCAAGTGCCGAGAGCCCAACCCACAGCTGCTTTTGAATGAACGGGTAGGACCCCACGGGCGGTTTTGCGTGAGGGGTGGAAAGCCCGTGGGGGTTGCACCCGGGTGCCTTGGTGGCATCACCTGTCGCTCATCCAAGGAACCCATGTAATGGGCGGCTCTCTGAGGTTCTGTGGGCACGCCACC